TTGGTGCTGCACATCTGGATGGTTCAGTTTACGGTCAAAAGCCACAGAACGAAGCGCCGATGTCTATTCGTTTTATCTTTGTATGTATCGACTGATTTCAGTTCTCTAGAAACGAGGTATGAATTCTACTAGGACCTCTCAACTGCTTCAAAGTGCTCGGTCAGTGGACATCGTGGTAGTCGCTGGAGATTTCGATGCTCAAGTGGGATCCCTAGGCGAATCAGAAAGGTTACTTAGTGGTTCACATGCAATCCCAGCTAACCGGATTGATAATGGAGAACGCCTACTCCAACTTGGTGCTGACTACGCACTGTTCCTGTCAACCACAAACTTCTCGCACAAGAAACCACACTAACTTAAAATCCACCCATCTCTTCACAGCACTGGTCTCAAGTCGACGATATCGCCATCAGCCACCGCTGGCGAGGATCTATTGATGACTGCCACTCCTACTGGTCAACACCCATGGACAAGGACCATGTTCTGCTAAGAGCCAGATTCTCCCCACGACCAGTAAACAACGGTAGAAAATCCATCGAAAACGGATGTCCACAATATTGTATCAGTGATGCTTGTGAATTATCCTTCGAAGCGGAAATCTGATCACTTTTCAGCTCAACCATCAATCGAAGGACTTAGCGAACACTGGACAGCAATCAAAGAAGCGATCCAAGTATCAATCAGAACAACGGGGTATTCTGGCGCGCAATCAAAACAAGAACGATGGATATCCTCGACCTCGACTATCCTGTTGGACGTTCGCAAAACCATTCCTTCTGATGCGAATTGCGACTAAGCGTGTAAATCTCTCTCTCTCTCTAGGGTCTGAGGAATGACCGCGAGAGGTTCTTTATAGGGAAGTGTAGAGAAATGGAGAAAGCTGCGGCCGTCGGTAAAGTCGCTATTTTTTCGCTTATTTAGGAGTGCAGGTTCAAGGAAAGTAGGCGTAAGTTAGGTAATTAAGGAGTCCAACGGCACACTGATTCATAACCAGCAACATCGTCTTCAACAACAAGCAAAACATTTCAAGATACAGATCAAATGGCCCCTGTCGAATCAAAACCTTGCTTTATCTGCCTCAACTGGGCGAAGACTGCCAGCTGATATCAGTCCTCAATTTGAAATGGAGGTTATCTGGGAAGTAAATTATCTCAAAAGGTTTAAGCCTTCCGGTCTGGACGGGCTGTCCTTATCGGCTTTTGCAGATTGGGTTTCGGCGTCAGTCTTGGCGTTGACGAAAACCCTGGGCTCGTTATGGAAGGGGGAACAGGTTTCAACTGAATGGTGTGAGTCAGTCATACCGATTTACAAGAAAAGCGATTGGTCATCTTGTGAAAACCACAGAGGAATTGGTTTGATCAACATTGCCTCCGAACTTCTCGCTGGGATCATGCTCCATCGATTGTCTGCCACACGTGAAGAGTGCACGCTTGAGAACCAGGCTGTTTGCAGACGTGGTCGAGGTTGTATCGACCGCATCTTCACTCTTCGCCAATTTCTCGAACATCGACATTTTTCTCTTAGACCAACGATCTCTGTCTTCCTCGTTTGGAAAGCGACTTTCGACTCGGTCGACCGCTGTAAACTCTGACGCTGATTTTCTCTGAAAGGTGTACCTGAAAAGTTAATTTCAATATTACAACCCCTTAATAGCGAAGTCAATTCCGAGCTTGCGGCACTTTTTCGCCCGAGTTCACCGCTGGAAGTGGTGTTCGACAGGGCTGCCCTCTCTCTCTCCGTTTCTGTTTATTTTTGAGACAGCCCTATCGTCGTGCGAGGAGGATGCACAAAGAGCAGTTGACAGATTAACAAGTTCTGTTGCTCCGTTCAGCATATGCTTTGCATCTTCAAGGTGCAAAGTGATGCTACATGACTGGACGTCGCCGAGTTTTGCTCTGAAACCAGACAATCAGGAATTATCTGAAGTTGAATGGTTCTCGTACTTAGGTAGCTGCGTGGCCAACGACGGTAGTGCATCAAATTAGATGACCACCCGCACTTCCAAGGCTCGAGCAGCTTACACAGGACTTAAACCACTGTGGCGTAGACGTGATGTTTCACTGAAGCTGAAAAGTCGCACATACTGCTCCACTGTACGATCAGTTCTGCTTTGCGGTTGTGAGACCTTGAATTTGCGGGTAGAAGACATCTGTCTCCTAGTGGTTTTCGACAATCGATACTCACGTAGTCTGGCCCAAGTGGGATGGAGTGAGCGGGTTAGTAACTTGGAACTAAGTCGTCGGGTGTTTGGGAATGCATCGGACAAGAGCTCGCTATCGCATGGATTTCAGGTCAATAGGCTCCGTCTTTTAGGACACGTTCTGCGTATGTCCGACGGTCGCCTACCGCAGCGCGTCTTATTCGCAGTGGCTGTTGCAGGCTGGAAAAAGCCAAGTGGAGGTCAGCAGATGACGTGAAAACAAAGCATAAGAAAATGCACGGAGCGATTGGGTAGAGTCGTTTTCCGGGATGGGGTTAAAAAACTCCACAACTGCATGGTTGGAGACACTGAAAGTCATTTCTGCGAACCGACAGCAATGGCGATCTTGCTGTCACTTATCGGACCAAAATGCTTAAAGTAGTAGGTATGCACAGTTGGAGCGTGAACTCTGTATGTTGACCACAGAGGTTCGCTTTCTTTTCCCGTCCCTAAAATTAAGTCCAATCCCTATCCTCTTCACACATTCTCACTTACCTTGTATGCAATATAAGTTTGGCAGCGATCAATGACGTTTGCTTCACTGTATTACGCTGAACAATGACAATGATGATCGCGCGAGGACAGCAGTATCGATTTCATCCCGGGTGGTAGACTATCTGATCTGGAGTATGCAGGCAGCATTGTGCTGCTAAGTGAATATCCAAATAAGTTGCAAGCTTTTCTGAATAGCTCAAGTCTTGGTTTATCTATATTTGATATGCATTTCGCGTTTTCAAGGTGTAAATGTTACCACAAGATTGGGTTGGTCCAGCACGAGTCTCACTCTAACGGAGGAAGTAATAGAGCAGGCGGATAAGTTTTGTTACTTGACCAGCTACATCTCACCCGGTGGACGCATCACGGATAAAGTGTCAGCTCGAATACAGAAGGTTCGGTTGGCATTTGACAACGTGAGACGTTTGTGGCGCCGTCGCGACATCCGGCTGTCTGTGAAAGGTCGAGTGAATGCCGCGGCAGTTCGGCCAGTACTGCTATGCTATGGTGAAACCCGGCCATTAAGGGAACAGGATAAAGATAGACTGTCGGTGTCTGAACACCGCTGTCTACGCAGCATTGCAGGAGTTTGGTGGGGCAGCCGGACGAGCATTGCTGAGGTTAAGCGTAGAGTTTTAGGCAGTCGCGGTCACCCACTGAACCAAGTGGTCGACCTCCATAGATCACTTTGGTTTGGAGAAGTGCTGCGCATGTCACCAAACAAGTTCCCAGAGCGAGCGATGTCTACGGAGGTAGGGAGCGTTCGGCAAAGTCAAGAATGACCGAACTAAGACCTGACATGGGGGTATGAAAATCCTAACCAGAATATTCGGTATGCTCCCTGACTGGCTACCCCGAGAACATGGTATGATCGCTCTATCGTCCCCCTGAATCTGCCCCTAACGTTCCAACCTTCATTCTACTCTTTATCCAATTGGGCAGCCAGGAGACAGCAACCTGAGCCTGCACACGAAAGTGCATGGTTACTAGCTGTACAAACTGCCACTGAAACTGAATCACTAATAAAGAAGCTTTACGGATGGCGTAGCTTTGGGGTTGATCCGGTCTGATATGTGAGTAATATGATAATGATTATGTATAATAATCAAAGCACAAATCGCACTGACGGCTTCTGCCCCTAACGCCATAGATGGATTTGCTGTATAATCCCTCGCACATATAGCAAAGT